TTTTTCCATTCCACGTTCTTTGTAATCCTATATTTATGTGAAAAATTAAGGGTGTGTTTGGTATGAAGGAAAACATTTTTCGAAAAATGTTTTCCAATTTTTCCATGTTTGGTTTGCCTAAATGTTTTGAAAAATATTTTTCTCGTGAACTTATTTTTCTCCAATTGGAGGAAAATGTTTTTCCTATCAAGAGAAGAGAAAACATTTTCCAAAACTTCTTCTCAACCTTCCCCACCCTATTCCCCATCCCCACCAATCCACCCCCACACCCCCACCCCCACCCAACCAATCCTACCCCCCACCTACCCAACCCATCCCCACCCTAAATAAAAATATTATTGATACTACCTTCTTTTCATGCTACACATAGTTTTTTTTATTTCAACAAATGAGTATTTTTTTTCATGAAAAGAATTTTTATTTTTTTTATTTTAATAAACAAAATACTTTCTTTTCATGTAGAAAAAGTATTTTTTCTCATTTCAACAAAAAAGTATTTTCTCTTCAACAAAAAAGTAAAGCAGCACATTAGTTACTTTGGGTTTGTGTGAATTTTTAAAGACTTGCGTGGAGGGGGGAGGGGAGGAGAGTAGCATAAAATAATATTTTCTACTCTCTAACCAAACACTAGAAAATATTTTTCGAAAAATATTTTTCGAAAAATATTTTCCACTATCAATCAAACAAGGAAAAATAAGTGATAAAATCACTCATTTTCCATGAAAATATTTTCTAGGAAAACTTGTTCCTTCATACCAAACACACCCTAAGGAGATTTTATCTTTTTCTTGACTTCTGGTTCAAGATAATTGAGAACTCGATTATTCAAAAGAAATTGAGCGACAACCCACTAGTAAAACTATTGCATCATATTCTAAGATTGTGGCCAAAATTTAAAAAAAAAAAAGGATAAAGGAAAGGTAAAACTTTAAAAAAGAAAAAGGAAAAAAAGAAGCTCGTGTGGATAAAGTAATTGTCACTCAATTACTAGTACTAGTATTAAGAAGCTTCCTATATCCGCATTCTTGTTAGAAAGTGGGAATCAAAATCGACATGCTTTTGGTTACGAATCAAGAAATTTTGTGGGACTTTTGGGTGACAATTGACGTCGATGCTAATCTCCTCGGTAATTACTAATTAATACAAGTGCCTTTCAATAAAATAAAAAGACAAAATATAAGAAGGGTTTTTATTCAATTTAGTCACGATCTTCCCTATGAAGCTACCTAGGAATTGATGACACACCTCAAAAAATTATACTCCCTCCGTTCCAGTTTATGTGAACCTATTTCCTTTTTGGTCCGTTCCAAGAAGAATGAACCCTTTCTAAATTTGGAAATAATTTAGCTTAAACTTATAATTCTACTCTTAATGATAAGCTTTTATAACCACACAAATACTCTGGGCCCTTTTTTTGACTTGTTTAGGACCACAAATTCCAAAAGTCTTTATTCTTTCTTAAACTCCGTGCCCAGTCAAACAGGTTCACATAAATTGGAACGGAGGGAGTATTAAATATTGAATGCAATTGTATTTTGCACTTTTATTTTTTCCTCTACTAACGTAGGAGGTCCAGATGACTCATTAACTCGTTTGGGTCACGGAATTTGCAAGAAATGAGAAGGAAGAAGAAGATGAATCATATGATTCTATGCACCTTTTTTTTCCAATTTGGCCAAATTTTGTGGATAGAAAGGTATAATAATTTTTTGAGTTTTGGATAGGAATCGAATATAAGTGGTCCTTAGTGTTGTTACTTGTTCCTATCTCTTTCACTGGGACAACTTTAAAATTAGTGACCTAATTTTAACCACATTCTCAACTTTAAAAAAAAAAAGATTAATTGTGATTGCAGAATCATTATTTTTCTTGAAATATTCTACAAATAAGTTTTTATAATATTTTACCAGTATTTCACTGAACCTAGTATTGGTCAAACCAGTATTTACAACTGTTGAATTTGAGTGTATTTATAAATATTGAAATATTATTTATGTCAAGCGTGGCTTGGAATTAAGAGAAAGGTTGAAAGGAAAATGGGCACGTGTTAATGAATATGATCTTTGGGTGGGTCGGGTATATATTGGGCTTTTCTTAAGATGCATAATGGGGGCCTGTTGTGTGTGAGAGAGGTTAAATTATCATGGTATAGCCAGTTTTCACACTGGTCAATGAAAAATAGCCAGTGTTTACCAAGTCAATGAAAAATAGCCACTATTTTGCTGCAACAGGGACCGGTCCAGTATAATATACGGGAGTTCTGGTGCATTTGTGTACGAACTCCAGCATATTATGCTGGACCGGTATACTTTGCTAACTCATGTAAAATTTGCGGGAGACTGGAGCACCAGTGCTCCAAACTCCAGTATATTATACTGGACAATTATACTTGCTGGAACTCCCGTAAAATTTGCGGGAGTTCCAGCATAATTATGCTTGAACTCCCGTAAAATTTGCGGGCGTATTTTTCCGGATTTTGAACAGTGTTTTCGCTCAGATTTAAAGTGGCTAAATTTCGATAACTTTTGAAACTTGGCTATTTTTCAACGACTAGTGGTAAATCTGGCTATTTTTGAATTTCTCCCGTGAGAGAGAGTAGGTAAAAGGGCTACCCGACAGAACTCACTGGAGTTTGGATTCGAACCTTTATATTCATGGACTTCAACTTGTTGGCCCAAAAAAGATATAATAGGTACTTATGGCGAATTGCACAAATATCCACTCTTAGGGATGCTATTTAGGGATTAGTCAATACTTTTTTGTCATGATATTTTAAACTAGAAATCTTAATTTCAGAACGATTCATAACATTTGAATCTCAAAAAGTTGAACTGAAAAAATGAAATTCAAAAAGCATTGGCTACTTCCTAAATAGCAATCCTTTGGAATGGCTATCTTTTTTTTTAATCAAATCCACTAGGCGACATGCCTAGGGCTAGTTTTTATATATATAAAAAAGAAAATAAAATACAGTGTCAATGAGTCTATGTAATGTAGCTACCTACCTAATGAAATTACATACTCCCTATTATCAATTTTGAGTAAATTACTCAAAATTGATATCACATTATGTACTAAAAAGTGGGTACGGCAATAAAAAATTACACTACAGAAATGGCCAAAATTCGCAATTATAACTCTGTATTTGCCATATTGGCTTTCTTCCTGATGATTCTCAATAGGGATGGCAAAATGGTTCAAAGAAAACAGTTAACCACCCATATTATCCACTAAAAAATGGGTTGGATAATGAACTTTTTAAAAACGGGTTAAATATGGATAAGAACCATATTATCCATTTAGAAAATGGATAACCAATGGATAACCTTTGGGTCTAATTTTTACATTTGTAAAGCCTCAAATTGGGGGTTCCTCAAGTTAGGAAGACTAAGAATTCTCCCAAAAGTGATCATATACAAGAAGTCATGGATAATATGGGTAACTCATATTATCCGCCGGTTAACCCGTTTTTTATCGGTATTAAATATGGGTCGGGTCGAATAATTGATCCGTTTTTTCATTACCCGTTTTCGACCCGAACCATATCCGCCCCGCCCCGCCCGTTTGCCACTCCTAATTCTCAATCTTGTGGTGATTATATCCCTTGCATGAAAGAATGCATTCTCAAGTGTTGAGTACCTGCAAACAGTTAAGCTATCCAAATATGTAGTCAAATTATGTATTTTCTCAACTGCCCAGTAATGGAAATTCATGGTGACTATGCCTTTTTACGCCCAGATTTCATTGTTGATCCTTGACTTTGTGTATGAATCCCTTGCTAACATGCCTTCCTCATGTGTCATAGGTGTTGTTGTTGCTGATCCTTTCCTTGTTGTCCGTATCTTGACACCCATAGAGTCCTTTGAAAACCAATGTGTCGCCCATAACGAACCGGACAGTGTTGTGATCATGTCCTCCTGTGTCCAGTAATTCAGCATAATTGATGCCTTTGTGTGTAAATCCACTTTTAGTCCATCTTCCTTGTATATCAGTAGTGGTGTTGATGCAAAGCAGGTCTTTATTATCCAACTCATGTGACTTGTGAGACTTCTTGAACTACACTGACTCAACCAGTAAAATCTGGGCAGTGTTTGTGATTTTTCTTTGTTACTATCCTTAGCAGCTTGTATTCTGCAGTTGTTTGCTAGGTTGATTACGTTCCTTGCCATATTGGAAACATGAACATGAATATTGCCATGCCAAAGTTCCCCTATAATGTCGTAACAACTTAGCATTTTCCTTAGAGCCTTCAAAGCCATGCTTGTGCCTATCCTTGCTTCCCTCCTAGTGGAATGAGTACATAGTACTAATACCACCAACTGGAAGTTGTTCAAGGAATAAGGCATGGCCACTGTAACGTTTCCTGCAAAAAGAAAACAAGGTTAGTGAAAAAACTGATCACCATGCTCTTCTCCACAAGGATTTGAACATGGTGATTGGGTGTTTGATCTCCAGCAGAATCAATTTCCTCTGCATATGTGTGAATGTTCCTGTGTAATTCTGCATGAATTTTTGCCTGGCTCCCTGTATATAATGTTGAAAAAATGGACTGCATTGGGTTGATCCATGACACTCCCATTGATCCCATATTCAATAGCCCATACTGCATATTTATGGACAGTATACTCTTGTACTGTCCATATTGAAAACTATTGTGAATCCCTCTAGTGCCTGTGACTTCTGTGGGTATTGTATGAATGATTGACCTTCAAATCTTGTATGTAATGCTCACTATGCTGCACATAAACCCCTTTTGTGTGAGCCCCCCAGTTTCATACTTATGCTTATCTTACTTACTCCTTAAAGGGAATGAGCACTAAGTGCTAATACCACCCAATGGACTCGTAAAGTATGATAAGGCATCAAGACATTAGCTTTTCCTGCAAAACAGAAAACAAGGTTAGTGAAAAAAATGATCAACATATTCTCCTCCCAAAGGAGTTGAACATGATGATCCAATGTACTCTCCTGTACCCTGCACTTCCTTATCTCCTCACTCCTTAGTTCTTGGCAACTTTTACCCTCAAGTATGGACGTTGCAGTTTGTCCTCATTCACTATCCTCCCCCCTTGAATATCCAGTTGCCAGAAATCTTTGCATTCTATATCTCCAAAATCTAGAGCATAATTGGCAAGTTGGTCAGCCAATTTGTTCCCTTCTCTAAAAATGTGTGACACGATATAATTGCACCCTTCCAAAAGCTGCATGATCTCCTCTACCTGATCAGCAATACACCATGGTGTCTTCCAAGTTCCATCAATAATTTTCTTCATTAGCATCGAGTCTATTTGGATCCATACATGAGAGTACTGATGCAATCTGCAGAACCTCAATGCATCTACAATAGCCACTGCCTCTGCTTCTGTGTTTATAGCCTCATTTATTTCCTTTCCTAATGCATAACATACATCTCCAGTTTCATTACTTACGCAGTATCCAATTGCACTCCTTCCTGGGTTCCTCCTAGATGCACCATCTGTGTTTACTTTAAGCCAACCTTCCCCTGGCAGCTCCCAACAAACTTTGTCAACCTTCAATCGAGGAGTATAGTTTTCCATCATCGATAATAACTCATGCCATTTGTGTGGAACATTACGCACTCCTGGCTTTCTTACTTGCACAAGGCCTTGAAGAATGGATAAAACTTGATATATCACTCGACTAGTTGAGACTGCATCCCCATACTTCATGCTATTCCTTCTCTTCCATAACTCCCAAACTACACAAGAAGGCAAAGCCTGCATAACAGGTTTGAGTCTAGGACAAACCTTGGCAGTCCAACATCTAGTGATAGCTTGATGCATTGTTAACCCCTCCATAGTAATACCTGACCTCGATAGGAAGTACCTACAAACACTTCTTGCAGTATCAGACTTGAAGAACAAATATTGTAGTGTTTCTTCCTTAGGCTGTGTGCAGCACCAACATTTTGAGGGCACGAAATAGCCCAGTCTCCTTATGAAGTCATCTAGAGGTAATTTTGCTTTCCAAACCTTCCACATGAAGAAAGAAATTTTGAAAGTTAAGCTTGCACCCAAATCATCTTATAAGCTGCCCTTGGTTCATCTCTCCTTCTCAAATACTCCCAGGCAGTTTTAATACTAAAGTATCCTCTAGTTTTCAACATCCAATAAGGCACATCTAGTACATCATGCTTAGGAGGTGGCTTAATTGTTTCCACAATATGTAGTGCATATTCCTCAGGTAAAACCTCCAGTAGTCTGTCTACATTCCAAGCACCCTCCTCAACCACATCATACATTATGAACTGACTCATTTATCCCAAAATCTTGAGGAACAATGAAGTACAGAGCTCCTAAACTTTTCCAATTGTCATACCAAAATAGAGAAGATCCCATCTTTGGATGCCACATTATTTGGTGTTCAATTAAATCCCTGCGCTCCAACATCTTCCTCCATACATGTGACCCTTCCCTCCATAGAACAATCACAGCATTCAGTTTCTTGCAATACTTTTGGCTCATAAATGAACTCCACAGACTTGGCTTGGTTCGAAAATTCCACCACAGTTTGCAGAACAAGGCTTTAGATACATCGTGCAGTCATCTAAAACCAATTCCACCCTCTTCATATGGCATACACAAGGTGTTCCAAGATGCCCAATGCCTATTATTGCCTCCTACTGAGCTGCTCTAGAAAAACCGTGCTAATATTTTATGCAATTTGTTTATAACATAGTTAGGAGGATTTACTTATAAGAGTAAGTGTATGGGCATGCTCTGAAGCACATGGGCAATCAGCACTACTCTACCACCTATAGAAAGCAACTTGCCCTTCCATGCTTGCAATATATCCAGTACCTTAGTACTCAAGCCTTGATAATAATCCATCTTTCTCCTCGAGTAAAAAATAGGACAACCTAGGTACATAAATGGAAATTCATGCCTTTTAATCCTAGTGATTCTTTACACTTTTAGCGACCTCCATGCTTGTTGAATGGTGCATACAAATAGCAGATTTTCTCTGCCTCGATGCAGCCTCAAACGCACTCAAAACTTCCATTATTAATCACAGAGATATAACATCAGATGAAGAGAAAATAATGGTGTCGTCTGCGTAAGGTAAATGATTGATTTTAGGACTCCACTTAGGCAAGCCAAAGCCACGGAAACACAGATTCAAACAAAGCATTTAGGCCCCTTGACATTGCCTCAGCAGCTAGAATGAATAAGGTAGGTGACAATGGATCCCCTTGCTGGACACCTCTTGATGATTTAAAAAAACCATGAGCCTACCCATTGATGAGAATAGAATACCAATTGTTTGACACAATTCCAAACACCAAACCAATGAATCTCTCACAAAATCCCATTTTCCTAAGCACTTTAGTCAGAAAGATCCAAGACAGCCTGTCATATGCTTTTGTCATGTCGAGCTTCATTACCACATTTGGTCCAGCTTTTGTTCTGAGCCTAATGTTTGTAATGATCTCCTGAGTGAGAAGCACATTTTCAACAATGCTCATCCCTTTCAAAAATCCAGCTTGCTCCTCAGAAATAAGATTAGGCAGTAGCACCACTAGTCTCTCATGAATCACCCTCGAGATGATTTTGTTGGTAAAATTGCTAAGGCTAATAGGCCTCATATCCAAAAATGTTGACACCTCCTTTTTCTTAGGAAGAAGGACCAGATTTGTGTGTGTCACACATTTTGGTAGTTCTTGGCCATTGAAAAAAGCTCGGAACATATCAGATAGATCGTCTCCAATTATGTCCCAACAGGAATGATAAAAGCTGCCTGTGTAACCATCTGGCCCTCCTGCACTGTCTCCATTTAAACCAAACACTACATTTTTAACCTCTTCTTTTGTTGGCTGCCTCACCAATTCTGAATTCTGCTCCATATCAACTAGTCTAGGCACATGATCTATAATGCCAAATGATGTAGGCACTGTTGTTTCTCTAAACTGATCTTCATAGAATTGAACTGCTTCAACAGCAATTTCTTCATCTTCCTCAATCCAGTTACGTTGACTGTTTTGAATCCTTTTGAGTTGTAGTCTCTTCCTTCGGCCATTGACTTAAGCATGAAAGAATTTGGTGTTCCTGTCACCATCTTTGAACCAAGCCATTCCTGATTTCTGTTTCCAGTGCTGTTCATCCAAGCCAAGGAATTTGATCAGCTCTGCCTGCACTTTTTGTAATCTCTCTCTATTTATCTTTATAGGACTAGCTTCAAACTGGGCTTCATGTACCATAACTACTTCCTCCAAACTAGCAATCTTCTGAAATATGTCACCATATGTTGCTCTACTCCAAGCTGACAATGCCTTTTTTAGCTTCTTTAACTTGTAGTTGAAAATGACAAATGGATTTGCACTGAAGTCTGCATGCCAGTTCTCTCTTACTACCTCTTTAAATGCTTGATCCAAAAATTAAGAAACCTGAATGGTTTCTTCACTGGAGCAGCCTCTATATCACACTTTAATAACATGGGGCTGTGATCTGAGCCAATCTTCAACAGATGTGTTACTTCTAGTCCTGGGAAGGTTTGCTGAAATTCAACATTAGCCAGACATCAATCCAGCCTCTTGAAAATACAATCCTCTTCTGCCCTCCCATTCCACCAAGTAAAAATACTACCTTTGAAGCCAAGATCAAATAAGTTGCAATAGTTGATGCAATATCGAAAGTCATCAATTTCATTCAAAGATACTAGCAATCCACCAAACTTTTCTTCTTCATCCCAAATAACGTTAAAGTCTCCACCTACAAGCCATGGCACTGTCATATCCCTTACCATTGCATACATTGAGTCCCATAGTTCTATTTTCTCAATGGCATCACATTTAGCATATACCAATGTAAGAATAAGCTCTACATGTGTTTCTGTATGAAAAAGTCTTAGTGTCAGCTGCTAAACCGTATTATACATAACAGTAACATCAAACACCTCATCAATGAATGCCCAAATCTTGTTTGACACATTTGCAATTGCTTGTGCAAAACTAATTTTTCTTCTATATCTCTCCAACTTTCTAGCTTGTTGCATTGGCTCCATAAGTCCTATAAATTCAAAATGGTGCTGCCTATGCATCTTGATTAACCTCTCAAATGCTTGTTGAGTATTTACTGACCTAATGTTCCAAATAAGAGCATCCATTACTGATTATTTGATTTTGTCAGAGTCATCCTCGTTTCTACACCACCTGTATACACAACAGTGTTATCTTTATGCTGTTCTTCCTTCGTTTTGCTGCTGATTTAGCCTTTTCAATATGCCTAGGTGAGATATCGCCCTGCCTAGCTACATTGAGGAAATTCTAGGCTGTAGATTCTTGATCCAAGTGCTTGCCTGTTTTGTCAATTTGCTCTTCTGCATCATTGGCATCATCGTCACCCAATGTAGTCACAATATTGGATTTACGAAGCTTAAGCAGCTTAGCTTGTTCCTCTACTTTCTTCTGCAACTTCAATTGTGTGGCCTCCAATGGAACAATATTTCTAGCCTCAACTAGAAGTTGTGCATTGGACTGCCCGTTCCCAGTCTTTACAATCTCCTTTTCATTGGCATTAACAATCACATTTTGTACTGCAATCTCCCCTGTTCTTCTTGGATCAACATTAGCAATCCCTATCCCTTCAGTGTTCTCTGTACCTATTCTATCACTTTTTGTTGCAACCTGCCTATCTTTACCAGATTCCTGCTCTTTGGACTCCCTAGTAACATTCTTTAGGTTCTCTTCCGAAGTGGTCTCCCTAGTAATAATGGGATCCCCATTTACACTTTGTTCCTCTCCCTCTTGATCATCATCAACCGGTACATCATTATTTGGTACTCCATCTGGAACTTCACCCTCATCAGAATCCTCCTCAATTTGATCAGGCCAAAGCCTGCCTCCACTCCATTGAACTCTGTCATTCTCCTTAGGCAAGTCACTCCTTGTCTTAGCCCCAACAGATTGATTTTCAGGATTTTTGGCCAATTGTCTTTCCACAAGGGTATCTTGTGATGGTATGTCCTGACATGATGTATTAATACCAACTGCATTGGCCTTGAAGGTTCTTTGTACCCACTGAGCAGTTGATTTCTTAGCTCTAGATGTCTCATTCCCTTTCCCAGTTGGAGTGGCATCCACACACCCATTAGTTGAACCAATCCCAGCTGAACTAGGATTAAAAATTGGAGCTGCTGGATTTAACTTCCCAGCATCATTAGGATTAGATTTTTGACTTTGTTGAGCTGATATTTGATTCCCGCTATTGGAGGTCTAGGACTTTGTTGATCATCCACCAATACCAGTTGATTATCATTTTCTTCTTCATCATTCATCACCTCTAAAACTGCAAACTTATTTCCCAATAGAACCTGGTTATTTGCTCCTTGATCAACTGGTACAATTTCTTTCCCAGTCTTACCTTGAACTTTATTTTGTTTTCCACAATTCTTACCATTAGTTCCTCCATTACCTTGTTTCTTTTCACCTTGCTGTACTGGAAAAATTTCTTTTCCAGTCTTCCCTTGAGCTTCAGTCTGATTAGCAATAGCCTTAACTCGATTGCCCTTCACTTCTTTCCACTGCTCCTTTGAATTTTCAGCTACATTACCTATGACCTTACCATTTGAGAGAATCATCAAAGCCTGTTGATTAGCATTGTTTGTTCGTTAGCATTCACAGCCTTTTTTGCATTGTCCTTATCAACATACAACTCTGGATGTAATCTCCAGCATTCCAACTCATCATGTCCTTGCAGCTTACATGTTTTGCAATATTTAGGAAGCATATCATATTGAATCTTTACCCATTATGTCCTTGTCTCACGTGTTTCTCCATTCTCGATATCCATTCTTACCTTTTTAGGCAAATCAGCAAGAAGATCAACTAGAACTTTCACCCTCGCACAACTACGTCTAGTTTTATTGATAGTAGCTATATCTAGGTGCAAAGGCTTCCCCACAGCTGAAGCTAAGGAAAATAAACATTCCTTAACAAAATATGTAGGTAACAAACCTGGGAATGATATCCACGTCATGGCTTTTGGAGTTTCTTCACCTGTTGATACCCAATGTTTCTCTATATATTTTAAATATGCATAAAGACCTTCAAAATAGCATATATATGCATATATAAGCATGCACAATGTTTTATAATTTTTCCCATGATTTTTAAGGATTTAAATTGATTTATTTTCTCCCCTTTTATTCATAAAATCCCAATAATTATTTCCCAAATATTGTTATGATGATTTATTCATTTAATTTCTATACTTATACCAAAATAAAATTAATATAATTTTTATG